ATGTTCCACTAAAAAGATATATCTACTCAAAGTAAGTAGTATATATGACAAATGCTACCCCTGAAACTGAGTGGATTTTTAACATATTTTGAAAAAAAAAAATACAAAATAACCCACTTTTATTCACAAATGCGACCACTCCATGGATGGACCTACTGCAGTTAGTTAAGGGTTCATTTATAAAACAGAGTACATTCGAAAGAAGGTATTTGTAACACCTCAACGGGATGTCTGTCAATAATAATTAAAATCTTCAACAATTAAGCTAAGACACGGGTAATTTTATGATTTTCACTATGTTTACTCGTAACACATTTCTTACTTCTTAGGGCATGCTTGTTTATGAAATAATTTGCTCAAAATGAGTTATTTTGATTAACTAGAGTTAAATTTGAAAAAGGTGGTAGAGTTAGTTGTTAGTGGGATTTTAATAATGTATTAAAATAATATTTAAAATAAAATGATTATTATTGATTTGAAGTAAAAGTAGGAGATAAATGATTGGAGATGATAGGTAGTTAAAATTATGTGAGTAGATGAATAGTGAATTAAAGTTGATGTGATATGTAAGAATAATTGGTTTATAATATTTAATTATATAAATATGATTAAGGATAGTGGGATTGAGTTAAAGTTGAGTTAAATTTTGAGTATGAAATAAATGCGAGCAACTTATTTCATAAACAAGCATGCCCTAAGTGTTCTCATGCTACTTCTATAATTTTTCGAATAAGCTGGCACGCACCAAAACATGACATAAGTGTTTAAAGCAATATATAAGATGTTATGCAAGTCATAAACCACGTGAAATCTTCAAGAACCCTTTTAAGGCAGACATTTTATAAACCAAGTGCCATTTGATTTGAAACTACAAATTCTTCAAACAGATAATATTGGGAAAGTAAAGTAGTACCTTCTTGTCCAGCTGTTTCTTCATCTTCTGTATCTCTTGCTGAGGTAAGACAAGTCATAATGAGATGGGAAACTTAATTCATTACACGTAAAAATTATAGTAGCATAATATTTAAGATCAAATACTAAGTTGGAACAACGATCATACCATGACATCCTCTGAAATATTTTTCGAAAGGGCTTGCACTCTGAGGTATAATGGATGCAATGCAAATACTGAGAGAGAGCTACATTGCCAAGAAGAGTGGGATATCAATCAGCAACGTAAAAAAAAAAATACTAAAAATTTTATATATGTTGCATGTTCTCCTTTCCAAATATAATCTTATCATCATGTCTATATGTTGATCACAACATAATTATTTATGGAAAATTTATAAAAACTACCCTCGAGATTTGCCCTAATCACAAGGTAGTCACACTAACATACATGTTGTCATTCCAATTTCCAAATATGTGCAATTTATAAAAAAATAGAATCAACTAACTTGAGGTTATGCTTGGTCAATAATCCAAACTTCACTTGAAAAGTCAGGGGCAGAAAAAAAAAATCTGGAGCAACAGGTAAGGGTGTGATTGGTTATAAACTTAACCAATAAAAAACCAATCAAAACTCAAATTTAACTCAACTTTAACCAAACCCCACTATCCTCAATATTAACAATACAATTAAATAATATAAACCAATCATTTTTACACATCACATCAACTTTAATTCACTATTCACCCATTCACATAATTTTAATAGCCATCATTCCAATAATTTTTCTTCTACTTTTACATCAAATCAGCTTTAATTATTTTATTTTAAATAATATTTGAACTTATATTTAAATTTCCACTAACAACTAACCATACCACCTTTTTCAAAATTAATTATAGTTAAAAAAACAATCAAATCCATATCCAATCACACCCTAAGTATATCAACACTTCTGTAGCCAGCTGCTGAACGAACTAGGAATCTCCTTAACAAGAATCGTGAATATCAACATAATTGTGTTTTATAATTTATAGCCAGTTTTATCTTTACCTGTAAGGATATGAATCCCACCACATCCCGTGTACAGATGTGTCATTGATCGGCAATAGCTGAACCAAATGGAAACCCGACTCAACTGCCCAATCCACTAGCAACTTCAAATCGAGAAACTCCCCAACTCCCATGTCAGCATCCGATCTTACCGAAAACATTGGGATTGCTACACCAGCACCCCTCCAAGGCATTTCCTATCAAATATATATA